GGGCAATACAATGAACGGCAACAAGCCAGCTGCGGCACGCAATAATCGGCAACAAGCCAGTGGCGGCACGCAAAGATATAAGCGGCGGCACGAAATGAACGGCGACGACTGACGAGCCAGCGGCGGCACGCACAGGTATAACTAGTGTTGTTAAAATACGGTATTTTATTTTATTTTTGTATTATACTGTATTATACCTTGCATTATACGTGTATTAAACTTTGTATAATACTATTGTATTTAAGTAGGGTATAATAATTTTTTGTATTATACCGTATTATACACATTTTATACGGTATAAAATCCTGTATTTAAATATATAATATACAATTATACAATTTAAAATTGATTACTCAACCATTGTCCATTTCCTATTTGAAAATTGAGTCTTATTAATAATATAAATTAAATTCAAAAGAAATAACAAAGTCAACAAGTAAAGTAATAATTAACAATTTTAATAAACATAAATAACTCTTTTGGTTTTTTTTTCTAAATAATAACTAAAATAAATGTTTAATGTAAAAAAGTAACAATAGTAAATAGTAATACTTTATAGGTTATAGTAACAATTTTAACACTTAAGTCTTTTAGTTTCCTGTTTAGTATAAAAAAAAAAATAATAGAAAATAAAATAAAACCTTTTTTTGTTTGTAAATATAAAATAATAGATTTTAGATTCTGAGCGGAGCGAGGAAGCTAGTGGTTTTACAATGGTGTTTATTTTTTTTTATTTTTTTTTTATATCCTGTATACAAAATTTCTACCAGAAGGAGTGCTTTAAATTCAACATATAGTACCTTATCTTTTAGCAAATTGGACCAAGATGGTACTTTAGAGAGGTCATTTTTCGATTTTCTCAATAGTTATTTAATGCCACGGGAAAAAGTACTGAAAAATTACGAAAAACCGCTTAAAATGGGATTTTAATTTCTAACAATTTGTTTATCACCGTAGCAACGAATAAAAAAAATAATAATTAAATAAATAAAATAATTAATGACAATATAAAATATACAGACTGACAAACCGTCTCCGTTCAAAATCGTTTTTCTTATACAATGATATTATATCATTGAATTCAAGTTTAATACAATCCATTAAACAATGACCAACTTGTAACCTACTGTACAGCTGAGCGACATCCACTTACCTGCCTTTTTAATAATCGTCTTCAGAATCAGATAGACATAAATTAAAAATAATTTAAACAAAACGTGCATTCAAAGTATTCTGATTTACCTTTTTTTGTCAGTGATTTCTTAAAATATTTAGTAACAGCTTCTTTATATTTATTAGGCCGTCCCATTTTAACTTTTACTTCACACTTGTTACTTGTTAGTACTTAGTAGTCTTGAGTTAAGAGTTATTAACAGTACAATGTAAATACAAGTTTGTAGTTAACGGTTGTTACAAAAAAAAAAAAAAAAAAGATAAGGAAAACCTCTTATTTTAACCACTTAGCGAAAAAAAAAAGTTTTATACAGATTTTATACCATTGTATAAAATAATTCTATACAGCGTGTATATTACCAGTATAATACGATTTTATACATTTGTATTATACAAATTTACATCACTAGGTATAACGGTGACGCAGACCACGAGGTTTAACAACGCGACGACTTAAAACCGAAACGCATCGGTTGTAGGTACATGTGGTTTGGTCGCCAAAACCCAGTGAAACGCGGCGAGCGAACGCAACGATGCGTCGGGCTCGACCGCCTGGAAAAGACACACGAACTAGGAGGCGGCACAGCCTACGGTGGCGAACGTCCCGGAGCTGGACGGCCGAGGAGGGGGTAAGCCACCTCGTGAGCTTCGGTATCCGAAGCGCAGCTTTGGGGACATATGCCGAAACTAGGATGGCGCGAAAACGCGTCCGTGTTCGAACAACGCCTCTGACAATGCCCCCCCCCCCGGGTCTCTGGCCCCTACTGCCCCACCCTCTCGCCGGCCCTGGTCAGGGGTACGATATACAGTATTAGTTAATAGTTTCATACGTCTATGATTTCCCCCATTACGTTTTTTCTCTCTTTCTCTTATAGGATTGTCCACCAAGACAATATGTTCTTTCTCACTCACTCTATATATTGGCGCCACTCATTGATGGCTAAGTGGTGAGTGAGGTGCAGTCCATTAGTTTATTATAGGTCTATGGTTACGAGTGAAGCTCAGCTGTGGAAGGCTGCCATTTTGTCGGTTGGCAAAGCATTTCATTTATTGCAGAAAATGAATAATATTTTTTTTAATGGTCAAATAAAATAGTAAATGTAAAATGACTTGTATAAAATATTTTTTTTTTAAACAACACGATAAGAAATAATAAAATACGATACAAAATAAATCATAATACCATCTTATTTGACATATGAAATACCATACAATTGCCAACCAACCTTGAAGCTTCGATTCACTATATTTCGATACTATATAGAAATCTGTGGTCACCACTTACAATTGGCCGTGGAAACGACGCCGCTGTCGGCGCAGGTCGGGGGGGGGGGGGTCATCGAGTGTTTACCGCCACGAGAACGCGTCAAAACGGCGGTTACAAGACGTGTCGTCGTCTGGGAGAAGCATCACTGCGTCGGCGAGCCAACACCCGTTCGGTGCACTTGGCAACGTTGCAGGAATCCGACGCCGAGCGCCGACCAAATCCCGTCGGTTGCCGCTCAAACGACGACCACTCGCAAACTTATAATATCGCACTTATGTAAATGAGAAAATTGTATGTATATTATAAATAGGCCTAGATAGCTACTCTAGCTGGGAATGCCTTAATTAAATAAGAAAAACCATACAATCGCCAACCGACCTTGAAGCTTCAATTCGTGGTGGGAGTTCGCTATATAGTACTATATAGAAATCTGTAGTTGGGTGCGTCGTCGATATCAGCGCTGATCGCAAGACGGTGTGGGAACAACGATGGTACCCCGCGCGGCCACCAGTTCCCCGGATCGAAGTGCTATTGATTGACGCGCGGGCGCGCTGCGCGCGGCGCGCAACCGTCACCAGTGGCACTCACCACGGTTGTCGGTTCCACGTCAGTCTGCAACAGTGCACTCAGTGCAGCAGTTGTTTACTCGCCGTCGATGGCGCGCGCCGCGCGCCGCGCATCATATCGTACGAACGCCGCGTTGCCGTCGGACATGAATGACGGGATATTTTTCTACTCGACGTCTCGTCAGAAAATTGCGTCCGATGTAACCTACGATATACCTACGCAGTGTGCCGTTTGTTGTACCGTTTAGCCGTGCCGCTATACGCAAAGTATCGGTTGTCATGTGACCAATCGCCGCCGCCGGTACAATTGTGTACGCGTCGAGTTAACTCCGCGAGCCCGTTTGTTGTTGTACCGTTTCGGCGCGCGCCATCGCCGCCGCCGAAACGCTACACGCAAAGTATCGGTTGTCGTGTGACCAATCGCCGCGCGCACTCGCCGCTGGCGAAACATTCATACGCGTCGAGTTAACGCCTCAACCCGTTTGTTGTTGTACCGTTTCGCCGCGGGTCATCGCCGCCGCGCCGGTACAATTGTGTACGCGTTGAATAACGCCTCAACCCGTTTGTTGTTGTACCGTTTCGCCGCGCGCCATCGACGCCGCCAAAACATTCATACGCGTTGAATAACGCCGCGAACCCGTTTGTTGTTGCACCGTTTCGCCGCGCGCACTCGCCGCCGGCGAAACATTCATACGCAAAGTAACGGTTGTCGTGTGACCTATCGCCGTGCTCCTTCGCCGCCGCCGGTACAAAATTGTACGCGTCGAGTTAACGCCTCAACCCGTTTGTTGTTGCACCGTTTCGCCGCGCGCCATCGACGCCGCCGAAACATTCATAACGCGTCGACTTGACGCCCAGAAAAAAGCGTCCGATATACCTACGCAGTGTGCCGTTTGTTGTACCGTTTAGCCGTGCCGCTATACGCAAAGTATCGGTTGTCGTGTACCGTTTCGCCACGCGCCATCGCCGCCGCCGATACACTTTTATACGCGTCGAGTTAACTCCGAGAACCCGTTTGTTGTTGTACCGTTTCGGCGCGCGCCATCGCCGCCGCCGTGCCGCTACACGCAAAGTATCGGTTGTCGTGTGACCAATCGCCGCCGCCGAAACATTCATACGCGTCGAGTTAACGCCTCAACCCGTTTGTTGTTGTACCGTTTCGCCGCGCGCCATCGCCGCCGCCGAAACAATTTTATACGCGTTGAATAACGCCGCGAACCCGTTTGTTGTTGCACCGTTTCGCCGCGCGCACTCGCCGCCGGCGAAACATTCATACGCAAAGTAACGGTTGTCGTGTGACCTATCGCCGTGCTCCTTCGCCGCCGCCGGTACAAAATTGTACGCTTCGAGTTTACGCCTCAACCCGTTGGTTGTTGCACCGTTTCGCCGCGCGCCATCGACGCCGCCGAAACATTCATAACGCGTCGAGCAATGCCGTCAACGCCGATCACCTGTGCCCAAACACCGAAGCCATCTACCGCTCCACACCCGGGCCATGTATATATAGGTATTTGTGTATGTTTGAAGCTCAAATGAGTTGTAAATCATAGCACTTGAGATTAAGATATTGACAATATAAGATACATTTGTAACATAATATTCAATGCAGTCCACTAGTTTTAATTAAGCAAAATACTCTGTTAATTAAATTGCCTTACGTTTTCTAACAAAACAAAAATATAAATATAATGTATTCTAGTGTAACTTTTAAAAAATGAATAATTTACATCATAAATGTGCATTTAAAGTCATGATAATATTTTACTAATATAACCCTTTTTCAAAAAAAAAAAATAAAAAAATAATATTATATGGAATAGGTAATTTCTAAGTCAATAGCTATTAGGATTCACCTTGTTATAGAACTACAGAAATTATATAATCAATATAAATAACAATATTGGATTCTAACAATCAATTAAAAAAATTGGATATAAAACTAACGTTATGTTTAGCTATACCTAACCTTATTAGAACAATGCGATGTACACATGTCATCCCGGATTTTTTGAAATGTTATTTAAATCTACTTTTTCTTCGACTTCACGTTGCATGTAAATGTCACTGGTGGTTAACTCCATTTCTGGGCATGAAAAAACACTGTTATTATAATGGTTATTTGAAACTTCCTGTTCCTGTTCTTGCATAATACCTATATTATAGTCTGTTTCATCAATTGGTTCTTGTTTTTGATAAAAGATTTTGTAATTCATTTCAACTTTCACAATACCATAATTTGGGTTGAAACGTACTACATCCATGTGTAAGTCGCCATATTCATAATTATTTTGTGCAAGCAGTTCTTCTTTTAATTTTAATAATATTGGTGTTGCTTCTGGCATACTAGGTAAATGGCATTCGTACTCTTCCATTGTGTTAAACTCAGTTAGACATTTTTGACAGTAGATTAAAGTTTGCAATCGGCAATAAGATCCTGTCTCAGTCAAATGTTTAAAATAGATATGTTCATCAAAGAAAAGATTTTCGCAGTTATTACAAAAAAAAGTTATAACATTTTAGCAGCCTTTGTCTAGCTGTATTGCAATATGTTTTAGAAGAACTAAGAAGTTCTCCATCGTTTGTACAATCTTTATCCTTCTGTTGCTCTGTATTTTGTTTAACAATTTCCATTTGTTGCAAAACTTTATTTGTTTCATCCGGTCCCTTTGCATATCTCATTTTCAATTGGAAGTATATTGTTCTAAACATTCCCAACCTTATGCCTGTCTTATGGAAAATTGCCATTTTGTATTTCTCAATAAATTTTTCTGTATTCAACATTACCGTACTCATTTGAATCTCAACAATTCGACTTATCTGTGTAATAAATGCTTCAGCGTTTTAACTTGTCCGAGAAGATCAGTTATGATGAATCACACTCATCAAAACCTATCAGAATTGTATAAATGTTGTTCTCTTACTTTCACAACAATGACTAAGTTAGTTCTTCATAAACTTATAAAACCACCTCCAATCCAAAAGGCTATCTTTAAATAATCGCATGCTTATTCTCAGACCTCTGTTAATTAGAAATAAGTGTTTCCCCCTTAACATCAAACTACTAATCTACAAATCTCTTCTTAAGCATCCACGTATGGACTTCAATTATGGGGTGCGTCAAAAAATGAAATATCAACAGAATCCAAACATTCCAAAATATTTCGCTCCGACGATTGTCCAATGCTCCCCCCTATATATCTAATCTAGCCTTTCATAACGATCCCATACAAATCCTCTTATAAAAGACCTTTTTATCCTCCCAGGAAACCCAAACCGTAGGAATAATAATAATATAAACAATTAAAAAAAAATAAAAAAATAAACTTATAAATCATTTTGCAATAGTCGTCACAAGGCACAACCGATATAAAAGTTGGTTTCGATGTACCCGGAACAATACCCTGCAAACAGAAAATTAAAGACAACGGAAGTATTAAATGTTATCGTTGTCCAAAATATTTTAACAATATTCTCCAATTTATAGAACATAGTAAGATTAAGCATAAGAATTTAATTACAATAAAAGATAAAAAAAAAAAAAAAAATTATGCCCTCTGTGTAACTAAAGTTATTTTAATGAACAATTTACCGAACATCTTGAAAACTGCACAAATACCATACTAGTTGGTGACAAGTCATTGAATCATTATGGATGTGTTTATTGCACAGTAATTTTTACAAATGTATCTTATATTGAATTTTGCAATCATGTTCTGCACTGTTAATCTTTTAAATTAAGTATAGTCAGAAATAAACTTAATCATAAATATCTTTTAAATTAGGTATAGTCATCATAACTATAGATTCATTATAACTGATCTTCTGGGAGGAGTTAAACCACTAAAGCATTTATTAGGGAGTGTAAGGATAGAAAGGTCTTTTATAAGAGGATTTGTATGGGTTTGAAGTCGTTTATGGAAACGTGTATAGAAAATGAGTGATCCTCGTCTATTCTCATACAGAGATCGTTATGAAGGGCTAGATTAGATATATAGGGGGGAGCATTGGACAATCGTCGGAGCAAAATATTTTGAAATGTTTGGATTCTGTTGATATTCCATTTTTTGACGCACCCCATAATTGTAGTCCATACGTCCACATTGGCTTGAGAAGAGATTTGTTGATTAGTAGTTTGATGTTAAGGGGGGAACACTTATTTCTAATTAACAGGGATCTGAGAATACGCATGCGATTATTTTTAAAGATAGCCTTTTGGATTGGAGGTGGTTTTATAAGTTTATGAAGAACTAATTTAGTCATTGTTGTGAAAGTAAGGGAACAACATTTATACAATTCTGATAGGTTTTGATGAGTGTGATTCATCATAACTGATCTTCTCGGACAAGTTAAGACACTAAAGCATTTATTACACAAATAAGTCGAATTGTTGAGATTTAAATGAGTTCGGTAATGTTGAATAAAGAAAAATTTATTGAGAAATACAAAATGGCAATTTTCCATAAGACAGGCATAAGGTTGGGAATGTTTAGAACAATATACTTCCAATTGGGAATGAGATATACAATGGGACCGGATGAAACAAATAAAGTTGTGCAACAAATGGAATTTGTTAAACAAAATACAGAGCAACGGGAGGATAAAGATTGTACAAACGATGGAGAACTTCTTAGTTCTTCTAAAACATATTGCAATACAGCTAGACAAAGGCTGCTAAAATTTTATAACTTTTTTTTGTAGTAACTGCGAAAATCTTTTCTTTGATGAACATATCTTTTTTAAACATTTGACTGAGACGGGATCTTATTGCCGATTGCAAACTTTAATCTACTGTCAAAAATGTCTAACTGAGTTTAACACAATGGAAGAGTACGAAGGCCATTTACCTAGTATGCCAGAAGCAACACCAATATTATTAAAATTAAAAGAAGAACTGCTTGCACAAAATAATTATGAATACGCCGACTTCCATATGAATGTAGTACGTTTCAATCCAAATTATGGTATTGTGAAAGTTGAAATGAATTACAAAATCTTTTATCAAAAACAAGAACCTATTGATGAAACAGACTATAATATAGGTATTATGCAAGAACGGGAACAGGAAGTTTCAAATAATCATTATAATAACAGTGTTTTTTCATGCCCAGAAATGGAGTTAACCACCAGTGACATTTACATGCAATGTGAAGTTGAAGAAAAAGTAGATTTAAATAACATTTCAAAAAACCGGGGATGACGTGTATATATCACATTGTTCTAATAAAGTCTCGAATAAAGTTAAACATATAGTTAGTTTTATATCCAATTTTTTTAATTGATTGTTAGAATCCAATTTTGTTATTTATATTGATTATATAATTTCTGTAATTCTTTAACAAGGTGAATCCTAATAGCTATTGACTTAGAAATTACCTATTCCATATAATATTATTTTTTTATTTTTTTTTTTGAAAAAGTATTATATTAGTAAAATATTATCATGACTTTAAATGCACATTTATGATGTAACTTATTCATTTTTTAAAAATTACACTAGAATACATTATATTTATTTTTTTGTTTTGTTAGAAAACAATTCAATTTTTTTTTTTTATTATTATTCATTCTGAATTCAAAATTGTGACCTGAATATTTATTGTCGTATAATGGTATAAAATGTACGTTCGGGAGTTATTCAAGACGTTGGAGGGCAGGAGAAAAGGAACTTAATGGATTATGGCAGGGGTCGGCAATAAGCGGCCCGCGGAGGGAAATATCTGGACCGCCGTGAATGTTTTTTCATGCTGTTTTCTGCACATAATAGATATTTGATCTATTTTTATGTGTTATTTTGGTTCCACATATACATTTTTTCGTTCTCCAAAATTACGTTTTCAAAGAATAAAATACATATCGTGTTATTATTAAAGATTAACAGATACCACCTTGAAAGCACTGAGCATAGTTGTTGTTCTCCATTTCTCCAAGATTACCAAATTGATCGCGGTACTGGTTGTATTTGGTAGCATTCAGTGATGATGTGTTTTACCGTTAGAAGGACGCTGCATGTGTCGCATAATGGAGGTTCGTCATTACACATCAAGTAGCTGTGCGTTAGGTGTGTATGTCCTATTCCAAGTCGGTTGATTATGGTTTCTTCTTTCCTAATAAGTCCAGGGTTTTTTCCATAGGTTGGTATTATTTTTAATTTGATCGAGTTAATTTCATCTAGTGTTAAGTTTTCGCCAGTGGGAGTGGCATTTATTATTTATGTAGGCGTTAATTTCTATCTTCGCGTTAGCGAATGTGATGGAATTTATGTTTGTGGTTGATGTTGAGTTGATGGCGTTGTGTGTGAGCTTCTTGATCAGCTATTTTGTTTCCCAGTATGCCAATATGCCCAGGGATCCATACAAATTGAATTTGTTTCCCTTTTTTACCGACCTGGAAAGTTTCTTCTTGAATGAGCTTTGTGATATCGGGCGGGTTACGTGTATTTGTGATTGCTATTAGGTTGCTCAGTGAGTCGCTAAGTATTATACATTTTGTTTGGGAGCTTCCGTATTCTGTGTGGAAATATTTTACTGCTTATTATATTGAATAATTTGCTTTTAAGAGGTTGAACTGTATTTTTAACACAAACATTAACACATTAGGTATATTAACTGATACTTAAGTTTTTTTCTGGCCCCTGAACATTTTTCGTTCAAATTATCTGGACCGCCATATAATTTAATTGCTGACTCCCGGAATAGGGTGAACCAGTTAGCAAAAATATAACAGAGTATTTTGAAGGGTAGGTATTTTGCTTAATTCAAACTAGTGGACTGTATTGAATATTAATTGAGGATTAAGTCACATATTATGTAACTTATATTCTACGGGAAGGGGGTGGGAGCTTAAGTGCTCGAGGGCGCACGGTGAAACGGTACGGCACAACGCGTAAGTCGTTTCGGCGGCGTCGAGGGCGCATACTTCACACGACAACGGATACTTGGCGTATACTCTTCTGACGTAACGTAACGACACAGGTGAGTTACTACTTCAATGCCGTTTATATAAATTTATTTTTAATGCTGATATTGTTGTAATGTAGGTATCGCCAGATTGAGGTGCGTGACGAAGATTGTGTTTACCAGCACATTTTGTGGTGAAGCTCACCTGAGCATGAGGTACAAGAAGACGGATTGTCAACGGTGACGCACGGTCCGAGTTCCGCCCCATTTTTGGCCATCAGGGTTCCTCGTGCTTTAGATAAATGCTCCGAGCCACAATTTCCAGCGGCAAAAGGGGTTTTGATCCACAACACTTTCGTCGACGACATTGTAGTTGGACGAAACTCACGAGTTGCTTCACGTCCAAAATCACGTAATTGGTCTACTAAAATCGGCTGGATGCAAGTGGTGTAGCAACAGTGATAGCGTGCTGAAATGTGTTTCACCAGAGCATGTAGTCAGTCGTCCATCGTTCGATCCCGAGGACGGACCATTTATAAAGGTTCTCGGCCTCCATTGGGACCCTCACTGTGATGTTTTTGGATACCATACTCACGTTTATGGTGCTACGGAAACTAAACGTGGCGTCTTGTCCACTAGGCTCTTCGCTGCACTGAGGCCAATGTTGTTATGGGTCAAGTCTTTTATGCAACAACTGTGGCAAGAGTCCATGGATTGGGACACTCCGCTTCCGTCAATTTTGCGTATCACTTGGCTTCAGTTCTTGACTGAACTGCCCTCTTAATCGAAGATAGCATTTGTTCGTCACATTGACACTCGCAGCCATATTCACTCTCTTTTCGCACGGCTTTCCGACTAGACGTCGCGAACCATCACGCACCAGTCCACCGTCCGTTT